AAAGGGGGTCCATGGCCGGAAAGCTAAAGTCCTCAATTTTTGATGTAGAACAAGTTTCGTTAGTTTCTATACATCGTAGGATTTTCGCGATATATTGATTTTTTGCAAAATGGTGAGTGATTGAAAAAAAGTAAAGATTTTCACCATAAAAAAACGTCACAAAATTGTTGATAAAAAAAAAAGCAAGCAATATGAAAAAAATCCTACGTGCGTCGATAGATAAAGGTATTTTAAATATACTGTCAAAATTCAAAATCGATCGGTTAAGATTTGTTCGAGTTATGTTTCGAGCAGTCTCACAAAAAGTGGTTTCGAGATAAAAGCGTTCAAAGTTTTAAGTACTGTAGGATATACCTGTGAGGCATCGCCGCAGAATGGAAAATTTCGACACTTAGAAACTTTTGCCGGACTCTATCTTTTGATATGTTATTTTTAAGACCCTAAAGAATTTTTTAAGTGAAAAGCGATTTCTTCAAAACTCTACTCAGATATCCCCCCTTAAGAAGAAATTCCATCTAAAGCTTCGTGTGCCCATGTAATGAAAGACAATTAATAATGTATATAAGACATATTTTCCCTACACACCTCTAAAAAAAAGTCCACCTCTTCGTTCTCCAACTCAATATTATATTGATGATCAAAATGCCCAATATCAAAAGAGCTTTCATCCTCACCCGCCGTTTTGTCACCGGGATCTAATAGGTCCACAACCTCTAATGGAAGAAATATTTTTTTCTGTCGCTGTATTCTTCTATCTTAATTTACCGTAGCTCGCCTGTATTATATCTGTAGCTCGCCTGTATTATATCTGTAGCTCGCTGAAATACGTCTGGACTACATTGCCCTTCGAATTGAAAGGCCCACAAAAGTTTCCAGATTACGTTGAAGAGGGCGGTTTGATCTACCGCCACGTCCCGCATAGAGCCGGAAGCGATGAAGTGGCGTCATGGAAGCTGTGCGTGCCGATGGAGATGAGGCAGCAGGTCGTAAAAGAAAACCATGACGCACCAACGGCAGGACACTTGGGCGTAAGAAAAACCATAGCCAGAAGGGCCGCCCGGTATTTCTGGCCAGGGATGCAGAGGGACATCCGGAAATACGTCAGGAGCCGGACAAATGCTGACACAGGTTCCGGAGGAGCCATGGGCGACGGTATGCGCGGATTTTGTAGGCCCACTGCCCAGGTCGAAACACGGCAATACAATATTGGTGATAATCGATCAGAAGGCGTTCAGGGAAAGAATTGTCGCTCGGTATGGAGTACCGAAAATAATGGTAACGGACAACGGGGTGCAGTTCACCAGCCGCAGCTTTAAGAAATTCCTCGGAGAGCTCGGCGTACGCCACCAGTTCACTGCATCAAAGGAAGTGGGACGAGCACTGGCCGGAGCTAATGTTGGCAGTAAATTCGGCAGTCTCGGAATCCACGGGGTACTCGCCGCGTGCCCTGTTCGTTGAAAATGTGTTAGGCACGGGAGTTGGACAAGGAACACCCACGGAGAACGCGACGAAGCTGAAAGAAATATTCGAGATAGTGCGGAGGAACATGGAGCGAGCTGCCCAGGACCAGGCGCGGCATTATAATTTGAGGAGACGGAAGTGGAGCCCAAAGGTCGGTCAGACAGTGTGGGCAAAGGAGCACCATCATCAAAGGCAGCCGAAGGATTCGCGGCGAAACTTGCGCCTCGGTATGACGGGCCATATACGGTAGTGGACTTCGTGTCGCCGGTAATTGTCACATTACGACACGGCGGGACAAAGAGGGAAAAGAGGGCCCATGTTAGCGAGCTGAAGTGTCAAGATACGGAGGCAACAGCAAAGGAATGATGATCACAAGAGAAATACATCAACTCCGCATAAGTGTACACGTACCGCAAGAAGAAAAGGAAAAAGAAAAAAAAATCCCAAAGAGGAGGAGATCAAGTAACGGGAGCATTAGCGGGACATTTCCAGCAACGGGAAATGGATACACTATATAAGTAGAGACGTGAGAGGTGTACGGCCTATTCTAAGTCAACAAGCAGCGTCAACATGTCAAACAAAACCAGTGCCTCCATGGCAGTGTCGTCGGACGAGAGCGACATCGAAATCGTCGGCGACCCGTCCTGGGACGCCAGGAAAACGAGGGCAGCGTGGATGATAAAGCGGGCAGCCGGAGGACGAGGAGAGATACCCGTCGGATCCGTCCAGGTGGAGCAGCAGCGCCGGAGCGAGGTGCTGGACCTAAATTTGAGAAAAGACGAATTAAATCTACGTCTTGTGCTGGAATATTGCACCCTCCTTTCAATTCTTGGCGCATACGTACTTGTAATTAGTAGAGCTAACAAGCTTGCGCGGCTGCCAGTAGGTTGAAGCCGGATGGAGTCCTTCAACGGGGCCGGTGTTAACGGATTTGATTGGATTTAAAATAAATTTAAAGTTGTTTTCTCCCATGAAAAATGACCCATTTTCTCCTATACTATTCAATTTTATCATCGACGGGTTCTTAGGTCCTTACCCAGTAAGATTGGTGCCAAAGTCGGAAATGCTATGACAAACGCAGCTGCGTTCGCAAATGATATTGTCCTTTTTGCGGAAACTCCGATGGGGTTTCAAAAATTGTTGGACCCCACAGTTTGCTTTCTTTCCTCTGTGGGTCTCACCCTTAATACGGACAAATGTTTCACTGTCAGTAGAAAGGGGCAAGCCAAGCAGAAGTGTACTGTCGTCGAACGGCGAAGCTTCTTGATTGGCGGGCGCGAGGTTCCTTCATTGAAGCGTACTGACGAGTGGAAGTACTTAGGGATAAAATTCACTGAGGATGGGCGGGCCCGGTAGAATCTACCGGGCACTCACACCCGAAGCTGTTGAGATTGACTCGGGCCCACCTGAAGCCACAACAGAAGTTATTTTCCCTTCGGACTGTCCTTATCCCACAACTCTATCAAAAGCTGACCCTTGGGAGTGTGACGATAGGCGTTCTGAAGAAATTTGACAAAATATTTCGATATACCGCACGGAAGTGGTTGAGGCTTCTGGTGGACGTACCAACTTCTTTTTTTCATGCCCCTTATAGAAGTGGGGGTTATCATCTTTAAGATGGATAGTACCAATGCTTCGTTTGAAGCGATTGAGCGGAATAAAATGGCCTCACCTTGAGCAATCCGAGGAGCCAGCTCTTCCGTAGAGGACGAAATGTGGAGGGCCCGGGTTAGGCTTCAGGCTGGAAGTGAAGAGTTGTTAAATTCGTACTTGGTCTGTTAATGGTTAACCCGCAACACGGGTGGGTTAGTCAGCCCACGCGTTTGCTAACAGGAAGGGAATGCACAGAAGGTATAAAACTGCGGATAAATGCCCTACCCTCAAGGGGTCGTACTACGAGGGGAAGGACCGAATTGGGGAGACTGTGCCGTGCAGGATATGATGCTTCCGAAACAACAAACCACATCTAGCAGCAATGCTATCGTACTCATGGGAGGAGGGTAGCTCAGCACGACGGCGTAGTAAATTTGCTCAAGCAGGGACTTGATCGGTAAGGCTGCGTCGTTCATGTTGAAATAAGTCTGCAGGGCGAGACCGGATTGAGTGAACCTGACCTGGTAGCTATCCGACAAAATCACATTTATGTGATCGACGCACAGGTTGTGACTGACGGACACTCTCTCGACCATGCGCATCAGCGTAAAGTTGAGAAATACGAGACACAGGACATACGGACAAATTTTCAGAGACTTTTCGGCTTGTCACATGTTGTCGAGTTTCATTCCGCCATTGTGAACTGGAGGGGAATATGGAGCCGTCAGTCGGTAAAACGATTGATCGCTTCAGACCTCATTGTCCGGGTAATCAGTGGTGGTCTCTGGAGCTGGCGACAATTCATGTATCGGTCGGGATACACGCGTGATTGGACTTAATCACACACCAAGATCATACTATAACAAGCTTGCAGCCGTAGCATAAGACCTAAAAACCCGCATAAAATTTAATTTTGAATAATTAATCGTTGATAACATTGATTGTCCTTTTTTATTGGGACTCATTAACTTTAATGTTCCTCAAAGGGATCTTCGTACCTTTTGCCCCCTTTCGGGTCAAGTGTCATAGGGCCAATTATCTTTTAAATGAGCCGATTGGGCGGGCTCTTTCTTATTTTAATTCTTTGCCGCCTAGCCTCCTAATTGAGTGGGGCTCTGATAAGGGTGTGTTAAAACGCAAGTTAATCAGGCATTTATTAAGTTTTTTTTAATTTTGTAGTTTTATTTCTTAGGTGTAAGTTGTTATTATGTAGCCATGTAAGGATTTGTCCGTTGGCGAAATAAATAAATAAATAATAATTCACGGATATAAACGAGGAAGTTTTTAGTACGTAGGCGTCGCTGGGGGATACAAGTTTCTCCCTCAGTTGATGAATCGAGCATGCACACTCAATTGGATCATAATTCAGTGGAAAATTACAACACCAGCTACATTTAGAGTTGTGTATCTTTAGAAGATTTACTTTCCTTATCGATCAAAACAAAATAGACAATACAAGAAGTGATCAGGATCCCCTCCTGAGTTGATATGAGCATGTCCGTCTGTCCGTCTGTTTGTCCGTCTGTTTCTACGCAAACTAGTCTCTCAGTTTTAAAGCTATCGGCTTGACACCTTAATTTTAATTTGTTTGGTTTTTAATTTTTTTTATTTGTAATTGCTTTGGTTTGTTTTTTCTTATTTATTTAACAACAGTTTTTCAAAATTAACAGTGGCAAGATTTTGAGACTAGATTTTGAGCTCGTGCGGCTCGCTCCAGGGCCAATCGAGGTGTGTGTGAGGGAAACCTGGAAAGCCCCCCAGAATATTACCCGAAGGGCAACTTTTTCTCTGGGAGACTTTCCAGTGAAATGGCGGCCTCCAGGAGAGAGGGCACTTTCTCCTTAATTCGTCTGGTCATCATTCAAATATGGCGGGCACGGGGTGGAAGCGTTCGTGGTCACCCCTGGTCCGTGGGCAAGTTGGCATCACTCATCGGTAAGGGAAGAACAAGAAATGTAAACAATGACAAAAATGGACAATATTTCAACAAAAATAACATTTAACAAGTAATTCGTCATCTTCTGGAGCCATCAGTGGAAGTGCATGGCTTCCCTGGCATCTTTCTCTTTAGGGAGGTATAGGAAATTGAAATGGCGGAATCAGTTAAATTTCATAGCATGTTATTTTGGAGATTTAGAGGTAAGTAGTTTGCGTTTTAAGTTGGTCCTTGTCCTAATTTAATTTGTCCTTTGTCCTTTCAGGTACTGCGTTGTTCGTAAAGAGTCAAGATGTGAGTAGGCTGAATTTTAAGCGGCGTCAAGATTAATTTTATGTCTTTTTGTTTTCAGGTACGAAGTGCAGCATCTAATAGGATCCATTAGGAGCCTTAGTGAAGAATCTGTCGCTATCCTGGGATCCCACAGGAGGAGGAGAGGCATTCCAGGCAGGGATAGGTTGGTGCAGGAAAGCAGGAGCAAGGACATTGAATTGGCAAAATCAGGTAAGTTCTATGCCATTTTGATTGGAGCCCAATTGTAAGATTTTTCTTTTCCTTTCGCCGTGTCAGGTTGCCGGCGCAGGAAAAGAGGAGGGACGTCGTCAGGTTTATCATAGTCATGCAAGGATCAGATGGAGCAGGGAAAACAGAAGCAAGGACATTAAAAAAAGACAAAAACTATGAACATAATCAGCATAAGAAAAGGGCAGCACAGCACGAAGCTGGCCTATCTATAGTAGGCGTCATTGGCATCAAGGAGCTGAACCAGGGAGTCCTCTTCATCGAGAGATTCCATCTCAACAGAATTGCAGATGCTTCGCATTTTCGTATTATTAAATGACAATTCCGAGGTATCAAATGCTGTAACGATTTTATTAAGCGAATCAATCATTTTATTAAAAGCTTTCCCAAGTTCCTCTACTTTCTGCAAGACTTTCTTAATACGTTCCCTGTCTTCATTATTGGCCTGTCTTTGCTGCTCCTCTACAGCCAGAAGCCTTTGTTGCCATTGGTCCCACTGCTCCGGGTGCTGGCACTGCTGCCGACTAGGGAGGTCCTTCCGTTGCTTATGCTCATCCTTGAGCTTATCCTGGAAGCGAGCCAGATGTGCTTCCGCCGGATTAGATCGCTGTTGCTTTGGGGCATGGTTATTGTTATGTCTTTGCCGCCTGAAAGAGTTATTACTGCCTCGTCTATGATCCAAAGTAGGCTGGGCCATCCTTGGCCTAGAATTTGAGGATTTATGTTGCCGCTGGGTGAAAGGATTCCTACGTTCATTTGAAGAGCTATGAAAAAGCAAATCCCTATTGGACTGTTGACTGGCAGGAGGATGTGCTTCAGGGGACATTTCATCACTCTGGAGGATATTCCAGTAATTTTTGCTGTGGCTGTGATGTTTTTGATTGTGTTGCGCATTAGGTTGGTGTCGGCGCTGAAAGGGGACCACATTTTTTTCTGTACGATAACTCTGTTGACTATTGGAAGGAGCACCCGTACGATAAGTGCCCTGGGCCAGTTTCCTTTTCGCCTCCTGAAAAACCCTGCACCCTTTGTAAGCGCTTATGTGACGACCCCCACAATTGCAACAAAGGGGGGGGCTTGTACCTTGGCTTAAAACAGGCTGTAGTGGGGTGTTGCCCTGCACACTTCATGCAAACAAAAGCTCGTCTGCATGTTTCCTTCGTATGCCCAAACTTCTGGCACCTATGGCATTGGGCCAAGGCAATGGGATTAAGTTTGTCAAAAGACAAGGACATTAGCGGGACTGGAGGTTTGCAAGAAACAAAACGAGGGGCTAGCGCTAATGATGCTTTATCAATGTTGTTGTTGCTACTATAGCTGTTTATGTTGTTGTTGTCGTCATTATCCTTCCGGACCCCTTCCCTATCCCCGTTGCTTTTTGGTCTATTGGCCTCAGCCCTATCCTTCTGACGCTCCGTGTATAATTTTTGGGCAAAGAGGCTCTTGAAGGCAGGAGTCCTTTTAGGATCATACGGAGACGGCTGTTGTGTGGTCATACGGAGACGGTCAGGGGAGGTGTGGATCATGGCTTTGACATTTAGAGATACAGGGGGCATGTCAACAGAGCTAGATTCACTGGCTCTTGGCGAGGCGGGTTTTATCGAATCAGCATTTCCTGGATGAACGCTAGAAACAGATTTGGAATTTTTGGTGAGCGTTGAATCACCAGGCTCCTGCTGCAACACGAGACTATATGTGGATTTAGGGGCTTTTGGTGGCAGCATTTGAGCCACATCATGGGATGCATTTGAGGGGGGCGGTTTTGTATCTTTATCCTTCAGCTGCGAGAAAAAGTTTCTCAGCAGCTCGACGGATTGAATTTTTACTGGCGATTTTACATCTTTTTTTACAGTATTTTGAGTAGATCCTAGTATTTTATTGTCACAATAGGTAGGAGTCAGCTGATTAGCCAGAGTCTCATCCCTAAAGACTCGCTTGTTGTCCCCGGTAATAGAATTTGGTGATGACGATAAGAGGCGTTTATTGCTTTTATGTGATGCGGCAGGTGGGATATAATCAGCAGAAGGAGCTGTTGTCATTGCCACCTGGGTGATAGTGCTATTATTGTGTTGTATGGACCCCCCTAATTTCCCTAAGAGTTTGCGTGGTCGTGGTTGTGGTTGCAGATGCTGTTGTTGTTTTTGTTGTTGTGCAAAGTGGCTGAAAGCGGCATCCATTGCCTGTGTGGGGAAAGCAGGATCCATTGTCTTGGTTGTGTGTGTTAATGTTTTCTCCCTGCTAAAATCAGAGCCAAGGGAGAAGTTCGGTGACAGGGAGCAATGCGTGTGTGTGTGTGTGCGTGGCTGCATAGTGGCAGGTGTAGTTGTGGGTGTAGAAAAAACGGAGTCAGCATCCAATGAAAGTGTAGGGAAAGCAGGAGCTGTTGCCGTGTTGGTATGGGTGCAAAAGTTGGCGCCAATTTCAGGCGCCAAAGCCACGCCAGAAGAAAGTTTTTTTTTTTTTTCTTTTTTGGATTGCGCCATTGAGGTGAAAATCTATCCTAGATACTATTGGCCCGTACCAAAAGCATGCACGATTCACCGGCATGTCTAGCCGGCGCCTACGTACTAAAGACACCCCCGCACACACCAAAGACCCCGCGGTACCACTGCCAAGTATTACTTCGCGGGGAAGGGTTGCCTAATCTAGGCATTCTCCCTTAAGCGACGTTCATTTTCGAGTCTTCTTAAGTCGCCCTGTGTATAAGCTATCAACTGGCTTACCCAGTTCCATTGCTCCTGTGAGCTACACATGAATTCCACGAGCTGCTCTGGATCTGGTAGCGATCCGACGGTGGCACGATATCTCCTACAATTGTATAAGATGTGCTCTGGGTCCTCGTCTGCTCCTGGGCAGTTGGGGCACATTGGACTCTCGTCGTGTCCGAATCTATAGAGGTATTTTCTGTACCCCCCGTGACCTGTAAGAAACTGGGTAAGCTGGTAACTAACCTGACCGTTATTCCTTCCGATCCACTCCTGGATGTTTGGTATTAGCCTGTGCGTCCATCTACCTTTGGTCGTTGCGTCCCACCTCTCTTGCCATGAGGATAATGCCGCTTGTCGGGCTGACGTCTTAATGGCCTCTCGGGATGAGTTCCTTCCCCGTTGCCGATTGGCTGCGTAAATTTCCTCCGCTTCATTAGCCAGAATATCGATGGGAATCATTCCGGCTAGAACGAGGGCGGCTTCCTCGGATATGGTTCTAAATCCGGATATGACTCGTAGGGCCGCTAGTCGGTACGATGCCCCTAGCTTTTTCTTAAGCCCCTGATGTCTTCTGACTGACGCAGCCCATATCGGCGCAGCGTACAGCAAGACCGACGTGACGACACTGGCTAAAAGGCGTCTCCTGCTTTCCTTTGAGCCTCCCGCGTTTGGCAGCATCCTTGAGAGTGCGCCTTGGATCCTTGCAGCTTTTATGGTGGAGTACTCCACGTGCGCTCCGTAGGACAACCTGTTGTCCAGCCTTACCCCTAGGTATTTAATTGCCTCCTTTGAGGTGATGCAACAGTTGCCCACCTGGATGGTAATGTACTCCACCTTCTTCCTGCTCGTGAAGAGAACTGCCTCCGTTTTATGTGCTGCTAGGTCCAATCCAGAGTCAGTCATCCAGGTTGATATCCTTCGTATTGCTTCACTCGCATTGGTTTCCACGTCCTTGATTTCCTTCGCCACCACGAGCAGCGCCAGGTCGTCCGCGAAGCCGATGAGTTTGCATCCTGTCGGTAGTTCGATCCTGAGTACTTCGTCGTACATGATGTTCCAAAGAAGTGGCCCGAGGACCGATCCCTGCGGCACCCCCGCAGTCACCTCATAGGATTTTGGTCCTTCGTCCGTGTCGTACAGCAGTGTCCTATCTGAAAGGTAGCTGGATAATATTAGTTGTAGGTATCTAGGAGTTCCTGCCAAGAACAAGGCTCGTTGGATACGTGTTCAATTAGCCGAGTTGAAGGCGTTGCGAATGTCCAGTGTTACCATCGCGCAATACTCCTTATCTCCCCATTTCCACCGGGTTCCCGCGATGGCTGCTTCCGCCGTGTCGGTCACGGCTTTGATGGCGTCCACCGTGGAGCGCGCCTTCCGGAAACCGTACTGGCTGACCGAGAGCGTTCCTTTTGCCTCAGCGAATTTCGAGACGCGAGTAGCTATGGCCATCTCGAGGACTTTCCCTACCGTGTCTAGGAGACATATGGGCCTGAATCCTGATGGGTCGTCTGTCGCCTTGTTCCCTTTCGGCAGCAGAATGAGGTTCTGCCTCTTCCACTTTTTGGAAAAGTGCCGTGCTGAAGACACTTGTTGAAGGTCTCAGCGAAGACCTCCGGTTTCTCCTGCATGGCCTGCCTCAGGACGGAATTCGGCACTCCGTCTGGTCCTGAGTCTTTCTAGCCTTAATCCTTTTTGCGTAGTTCCGGATCTCCTCCTCCGTAACTGGCGTAAACGGCTCCCCATCATCGGCTGGTATAGTATCCCTTTTTGGCGGGTGCTTCGGGAACAGAGCCTCCACTATTTTCCTTAATAGTGTAGGGCAAGTTGGTCTTAGGTGCTCTTGCCCTTTAAGCCTTTTCATGACGACCTTGTAGGCTGTGCCCCATGGGTCCACCTCCGCCTCGTCGCAGATTTTTTGAAAGCATTCCCGTTTGCTGGCTTTTATAGCCAGTTTCAAGGCCCTCTTAGCTGCCTTGAACTCCTCCGTTCTTGTGGTTAGGTTCTCTGAGCCTCTTGCCCTTTGGAAGCGTCTTCTTGCCCGCAGGCAGGCGGTCCTTAGTTGCTGAATATCCTGGTTCCACTAGTATACTGATGCTCCTCTTCTGCTGGGTTTCCTCCTAGGCATGGCACTGTCGCAAGCATCTGATAGTGATTCTGAAAGTTCTTCCGCTGCTCCCTCCGGGGAGGATGATGAAGTCCGGTCTAGCGTCTGCAGGGTTACCGAGAGTGCTTCTCGATCCAAACGCGAGTCCTTCCATTTCGGTCCTGTCACCTTGGGAATCCGTTTCCTACTTACCCCTCCAAGGGTAAAGTGTATGGCCTGGTGGTCGCTGAAAGTAAAAGCATCACTGACCTCCCAGTTGCACCTCCTTATTAGTGCGCTGCTAACGAAGGTGATGTCGATAATAGATCCACGCCCTGCCTTGCTGTACGTCAGCTTTTGGCCTCTATTGGCCAAGACCACGTCTAGTGCCGCAAAGTGTTCCAGTAGACTGGTACCCCTCTCGTTCGGTGCTCGGCTTCCCCACTCCGGGGACCAGACGTTGAAGTCCCCTCCAATGACCACAGGCGATCTGCCTCTTGCATCCGCTACCAGGCTTCGTAGCATTCTTTG